CTCTTCTAAAGCCGTAGCGCTGAAACAGCTACGGTTTTGGCTAGCTGCAGCTAGCTAGCTGCAGCTAGCTAGCTGCAGCTAGCTAGCTGCAGCTAGCTAGCTATGATGGGCTGCAGCTAGCCAGCTAGGCCTAAATGTGGCTAGCTCCAGCTGGCTAGCTGTGTTCCCTTGTGGCTTGCTGCAGCTAGTTAGCTGCAGCTAGCTAGCAGCAGCAAGCTGGCCGCAGCTAGCTAGCAGCAGCTAGCTAGCAATTGCCGCTAGCTAGCAGCAGCAAGCCATCTGCAGCTAGCTAGCAGCAGCAAAGTAGCTATTGCTAGTTAGCTGCAGGTAGCTACCTGCGGCTTGCTAGCTGGGCCCAGTCATGGTTGGCTGCAGCTAGCTAGCTGCAGTTCGCTGCAGCTAGCTAGCTAAATTAAGCTGTGGCTAGCTGGCTAGCTGCGGCTAGCTGTACCTAGCTGTAGCTAGCTGTAGCCAGCTATAGCTTGCCGTAGGTAGCTGCAGCTAGCTGCAGCTAGCTGTAGCTAGCTGCGGCTAGCTGCAGCAGGATTGCGATGGCTCAGCGGGGCAGCTGCTGCATGTGCGAGGGAATTCAAGCTCCAGTTTATCTTCAAGTTGAGGGTTTAGAGTTTAGGGTTTGGGGTTTGGGGTTTAGGGTTTAGGGTTTAGGGTTCAGGTTTTGGCGCCGCAGCTTCCTCTACAGCCTTCTTAGAGGCCGCAGCAGCAGCCACGCCCAAACCCTAAACCATAAACCCTAAACCATAAACCCTAAACCCTAAGCCCTTCCTGTTTCATTTAAAAGAAAAAATATTTCAAAGAAATGGCGGCCCAGGGGCATCGGCAGCACTCGACTGGGGTGTATGTACACCTCGGACTTCATCGCGCGGCGGTTTGAGAGTTTGGAGTTTAGGGTTTAGAGTTTAGGGTTTAGGGTTTAGGGTTTGAAGTTTAGGGTTCAGAGTTTATGGTTTGTGGTTTAGGGTCTAGGGTTTAGGGTTTGAAATTCGGGTTCAAGGGATTTTTAAGGTTACGGCGCCGAGACCCCAAACCATATGCGCTAAACCCTGAACCCTAGACAAACAGCTCTTGTTCATTTCCTTAAGCAATGCATTTAAAAACTCTTAAAAACATTTTTAATTAATTTCAAGGGTTTAGGGTTTAGGATTAGGAGTTTAGGGTTTAGGGTTTAGGGTTTAGGGTTTGTGCTGAGGGTCCACTTGCTCTGTTTTGCCACGGCGTTTGCAAATAGGTCTCCCCTTTAGTGCTTAGAATTTAGGGTTTAGGGTTTAAGGTTTAGGGTTTAGGGTTTGGTTGGGCATGGGCTGGGTTTTGCAGTTGGTGGTTTGGTGTGGGGCGGCAGGGTCACCTTGAGGGTTTAGTGTTTAGGGTTTAGGGTTTAGGGTTTGGGGTTTGAAACGGCAGTTGACAACGAGAAACTTGAGTCAAAAAAATCATTTGGTGTAATTTATTGCCAAGGGTTTAGGGTTTAGGGTTTGGGGTTTGGGGTTTAGGGAGGAATAGACAGCATCAAGTCAGGCGGCGGTCGCCGCTGCAGCTGCAGCGGTCTGCTGCAGCAAACCCTAAACCCTAAACCCTGAAACCTAAGCCCTAAACCCTAGACCCTGAGCTGCAGAGCCAAACTCTCAGCCTCTTTTTATTTGAAAAGGTTTCTTTGCAAATAAAGGTACTGTCCATAGCAGGGCTAAACCCTAAACCCTGAACCCTCAACTGTAAACCCTAAACCCTAAACCGCCCACTGGCAACAAGAGGTCACCCCGCACGATGTCGTTTGTGGTTTTGCTTTGAAGTTTGGCTCCCAAACCCTAAACCCTAAACCCTAAACCTTCGTTCCGGCAGCTCCTCGCGGCCTCCCAAACCCTAAACCCTAAACCCTAAACCCTCGTCTTCTTCGCCTTGCTGCGCCACAATGGCCTGCACTGCAGCAGCAGCAGCAAACCCTCACTTGAAGCAGCAAAAAAGCGCAGGAGCAGATTCTCTTTACGAAGAAGAGCCCCTGACTCCTTTATATCCTTCTTCGGAAGCAACTGCTGCTTCCACGCCTGGCTCAACCACAGCAGCAGCAGCAGCAGCAGCAGCAGCAGCAGCAGCAGCGGGGGCCAAGGGGGCCAAGCCTGCTGCTGCGGGAAACCCCCAAACCCCCGACGAAGCAGCAGCAAACCTCAAGGGGCCCCAAAACCCCACAGGGGACCTGAGCGCTCCGTACACTCAAAATGACCCCAGCAGCAGCAGCAGCAGCAGCAACAGCAGCAGCAGCGGCAGCTGGTGGAAGCAGACTGTGCTCGCTCTGGGGTTCGGGACCCACAGAGTTGAGACCTTTGGAGGCGTCAGCAGCAGCAGCAGCAGCAGCAGCAGCAGCGGCGGGGGCCCCCTGGGGCCCCTGTCTCATCCCCGGGGCCGCGAGGGCGCCCTGCTGCAGGGCAGCACGCAGCAGCAGCAGCAGCGGCAGCGGCAGCAGCAGCAGCAGCAGGCAGCAGCCTACGTCAAGAGCCACCGGCAGCAGGTTTGCTGGGCCTTCGTCTTGGGGTCTCTTTGTCTCTTAATATTGGGGGCCCTCTGCTGGAGTTTGTCTCCTTTACCTGCTGCAGCAGCAGCAGCAGCAGCAAAACGCTGCCTGGCGGCCTTCGAAGCAGCAGAAGATGCAGGGCTGCTGCTGGGAGGCCCCAGCAGCCTTGCTGCTGCTCTCAAGGACTACTTGCTGCAGCAGCCTGCGGAGAAGCAGCAGCTGCTGCATCAAGCCTGGATGGCCAGGCAGAAGCAGTACCAGGAGCAGCAGCAGCAGCAGCAGCAGAATGAGCAGCATGCAGCAGCCGCAGCAGCAGCAGCAGCGACTGCTGCTGCTGCCACCTTCGGCTCCAGCAGCAACTTTATGGCCAGCCTCGTCGTTGATGCAGCAGCAGAATACCTGTCGCTGCGAAAGGGAGTGGTGCAGCAGCAGCAGGCTTACGGTTTGCTGCTGCAGGAGCTGCAGGAGCAGCAGCAGCAGCAGCAGCTTAGCCAGTTGCTGCTCGATGAGACGCAGCTCAGGAGGCGCCTTGCTGCTGCTGCACAGCAGGCACCAGCAGCAGTGCCCGCTGCAGCAGCAGCTGTGGTAGCGAACCAAGAAACAGCAGCAGCAGCAGAGAGCACTGCAGCAGCTAATTCATTAGCAGCTGCTCAAGATGAAATAGCAGCAACAGCATCAGAAGCAGCAGCAAACACGCCTAGGCTGTCAACCGAGGCGCAACTGCAGCAAAATCCACAAGGCACAAATGACAGCCACAGCACCATTCAGCAGCTGCAGCAACAGCAGCAGCAGCAGCAGCAGCAGCCGCAGCAGCCGCAGCAGCAGCATCCGCCGCAGCAGCAGCAGCCGCAGCCGCAGCAGCAGCAGCCGCAGCAACAGCAGCAGCAGCAGCCGAAGCAGCAGCAGCCGCAGCAACAGCAGCAGCAGCAGCAGCCGCAGCAGCAGCAGCCGCAGCAACAGCAGCAGCAACAGCAGCAGCAGCAGCAGCCGCAACAGCAGCAGCGGCCGCAAC